GTTTATACATGTTATTTAGTAGCGTTTACCTATTACTTGTAGTATACACCTGTTAACTGGTTGTTTATACATGTTATTTAGTAGCGTTTACCTATTACTTGTAGTATACACCTGTTAACTGGTTGTTTATACATGTTATTTAGTAGCGTTTACCTATTACTTGTAGTATACACCTGTTAACTGGTGGTTTATATCTGTGAACTGATTATTTACACCTGTTATTTTATGGTTTACACTTGTAACTTGGAGGTTTATACCTGTTAACTGATGGTTTATACCTGTGAGCTGGAATTTTATACCTGTGAGCTGAAATTTTATACCTGTTTACTGGTGGTTTATTCCTGTTAACTGACGGTTTGTACCTGTTAACTGGTGTCTTATACCTGTTAACTGGTGGTTTATACCAGTTAACTGGTGGTTTATACATGCTATTTAGTAGCATTTACCTATTACTTGTAGTATACACCTGTTAACTGGTGGTTTATACATGTTATTTAGTAGCGTTTATCTATTACTTGTAGTATACACCTGTTAACTGGTGGTTTATACATGCTATTTAGTAGCATTTACCTATTTCTTGTAGTATACACCTGTTAACTGGTGGTTTATACATGTTATTTAGTAGCATTTACCTATTACTTGTAGTATACACCTGTTAACTGGTGGTTTATATCTGTGAACTGATTATTTACACCTGTTATTTTATGGTTTACACTTGTAACATGGAGGTTTATACCTGTTAACTGATGGTTTATACCTGTGAGCTTGAGTTTTATACCTGTTTACTGGTTGTTTATACCTGTTAACTGGTGTTTATTCCTGTTAACTGATGGTTTATACCTATGAGCTGGATGTTTATACCTGTTTACTGGTGGTTTATACCTATCAACTGGTGGATAATATGTGTAAACTGGTGGTTTACACCTGTTATTTTATGGTTTACACTTGTAACTTGGTGGTTTATACCTGTAAACTGGTGTATTTNTATGGTTTACACTTGTAACTTGGAGGTTTATACCTGTTAACTGATGTCTTATACCTGTGAGCTGGAATTTTATACCTGTTTACTGGTGGTTTATTCCTGTTAACTGACGGTTTGTACCTGTTAACTGGTGTTTTATACCTGTTAACTGATGGTTTATACCTGTTAACTGGTGGTTTATACCTGTTAACTGGTGGTTTATACATGTTATTAAGTAGCGTTTACCTATTACTTGTAGTATACACCTGTTAACTTGTGGTTTATACATGTTATTTAGTAGCGTTTACCTATTACTTGTAGTATACACCTGTTAACTGGTGGTTTATACATGTTATTTAGTAGCGTTTACCTATAACTTGTAGTATACACCTGTTAACTGGTATACACCTGTTAACTGGTGGTTTATACATGTTATTTAGTAGCGTTTACCTATTACTTGTAGTATACACCTGTTAACTGGTTGTTTATACATGTTATTTAGTAGCGTTTACCTATTACTTGTAGTATACACCTGTTAACTGGTGGTTTATATCTGTGAACTGATTATTTACACCTGTTATTTTATGGTTTACACTTGTAACTTGGAGGTTTATACCTGTTAACTGATGGTTTATACCTGTGAGCTGGATGTTTATACCTGTTTACTGGTTGTTTATACCTGTTAACTGGTGTTTATTCCTGTTAACTGATGGTTTATACCTATGAGCTGGATGTTTATACCTGTTTACTGGTGGTTTATACCTATCAACTGGTGGATTATATGTGTTAACTGGTGGTTTACACTTGTTATTTTATGGTTTACTCTTGTAACTTGGTGGTTTATACCTGTAAACTGGTGTTTTTTACCTGTTAACTGGAGGTTTATACCTGTTAACTGGAGGTTTATACCTGTTAACTGGTGTTTTATACCTGTTAACTGATGTTTTATACCTGTTAACTGGTGTTTTATACCTGTTAACTGATGTTTTATACCTGTTAACTGGAGGTTTATACCTGTTAACTGGAGGTTTATACCTGTTAACTGGTGTTTTATACCTGTTAACTGATGTTTTATACCTGTTAACTGGTGTTTTATACCTGTTAACTGATGTTTTATACCTGTTAACTGGAGGTTTATACCTGTTAACTGGAGGTTTATACCTGTTAACTGGTGTTTTATACCTGTTAACTGATGTTTTATACCTGTTAACTGGTGTTTTATACCTGTTAACTGATGTTTTATACCTGTTAACTGGAGGTTTATACCTGTTAACTGGAGGTTTATACCTGTTAACTGGTGTTTTATACCTGTTAACTGATGTTTTATACCTGTTAACTGGTGTTTTATACCTGTTAACTGATGTTTTATACCTGTTAACTGGAGGTTTATACCTGTTAACTGGTTGTTGATACTTGTTAACCTATAATTTACACTTTGTCATTCATACCTGTTAACATATGGATGATTCCTTTACAGGGTGGTACACTTGTGGAGTGTGATGGAAAACTTCGACTTTTAGAAATTGCCCAAGTACCAAAAGAACATGTAAGTTAGTGGAAATGTCATAACTAAATCATGTGTAAGAAAATTTGTATGTTTTCTGTGTGAAAAATAGATTAGCAAAATAAACATATACTACAGTGTAGACAATTTGTTGTTTGATGAATAAAACCTGAGTGATTTAATATGGTTGTAGGTCAACATTGACAAGCTGAAATTAGTTTTTGTTACACTTACATTATATTTTTACATACTTACAGGTAGATGAATTCAAGAGTGTCAGTAAATTTAAGTAAGTATTGTGATGAGTCCGAACTTGAATATAGGAATTTAAGTACTGGGTTACTAAAAAGTAGTGTCATGTTTTAAAATAGAGAGAAAAAAATCAGGAAACTGATAACAGTCGTGTATCAAACAGGATGTGGATTCCAGATAGTTGAACCATTGAACTGTGGGGTGATAAACAGGAACGATGGTGTCAATATATAGACACAAGTTCATCAGCATGTTTTCTCTTAAAGTATGCAAAGTCCCCAGTAAACAAAAGTGTTGTTAGATATCAAATATATGTTAGTTTACAGAGTTAATACTGCCCTTTTGCAGTGTCAGTCTTGTTCAGGAAACTAGTCCCTCATAAGTTTTCATTTGGTTTCTCTGAAACCTGGTAGTGTTTTCACAGTGGTTACATATTATACATATGAATGATACAAGAAAGTTTATTTAAAGTCACATACATGTAAACAAAGAACAATTGTGAATGAGCAGGTCATTTTAACTTAACCCCTGGCTTTTAATTACAGTGCCAGTTTCCATAGGTTCATTTGTTGCCAAGGTAATTGCAATAATTTGTGTATTTTACATTTTGTTGTATTTCTAAATAATGAAAAAATAATTGATATCATCAATGACATTGTAAATAAAGAAATATTAACAATGAATTATTATTTCAGAATTTTTAACACCAACAACCTGTGGATAAGTCTAGAAGCCATGAAGAGAGTAGTGGATGAGAAAACACTAGATATGGAAATCATTGTCAACCCTAAGGTCAGTTACCAAAAAGCTGTATTTAATGTAGGTCAGTCATTAAACAATACATCAAATTTAAATAACGAATTCAGTCTGGAGAAGAAACAGTTATCTTGATGTCAGTGCATGGGATGAATCCTCTTCACTTAATACAGTTGTGGTATTACAGGAAACACAATGAGTAGTAAAATAAACCTATTTGTTGTTACAGACACTTGACAACGGCCTCAATGTGATACAGCTGGAGACGGCCGTGGGGTCAGCCATCAAAAGTTTTGAAGGTGCTCTAGGTCAGTAATTTACCATCTTCAAAACAAGGAAGAAAATTAAAGAGAACATGAGTTGCAAGGCAATCATAAACAGAACTCTCAAGGTCCGAGTTCAAATGTAAGGCAATCATAAACAGAACTCTCAAGGTCAGAGGTCAAATGTAAGGCAATTATAAACAGAACTCTCAAGGTCAGAGATCAAATGTAAGGTTAAGATAAACAGGACTCTAAAGGTCAGAGGTCAAATGCAAGACAATGATAAACCGAACCTTAAAAGTCAGAGGTCAAATGTAAGGCAATGATAAACAGAATCTCAAGGTCAAATAAATGCAAAATTTCCTGTGAACATAACTTCAAACTGTGATAGATATCTTGATGAATTTGAAGGGTACCTTATGAAGAAGGTGAATGGTGCATTGTAATTAGGTTACTGTGATCTTGACTTCAAAGTCAAATAAATGAGGTCTTATAATGCAACATTTCTAGAAAAATCTTGTCCAGGCCTTCACTTTTAAACTGTCTAAAGATATTTTGATGAAGCCTGAATTATACTTGCATCATTCCCAGGAGACATGCACTGCATATTGATTAGGTCACAGTGACCTTCATCACAAGGTCAAAGGTCAAATAAGAGCAAAAATTTGAGTGAAATCTTGTCAGGATCATAACTTCAAAATTATTCAAGATATCTTGAGAAAATGTATCTGCATCACCCGCTGAAGGTGTGACTGTGCAGTAGTGTTTATTGTGACTAGATAGTTGGTAAACACAAACAGTTTTGTTCTGTTTTCATGTGACTAGATATTACTTGAGTGACTCTTTTACCTTTGTAGGTATAAATGTACCTAGACGCAGGTTTTTACCTGTCAAGACGACCTCTGACCTGCTGTTGGTGATGAGTAATTTATACAACATGAGGACAGGCTCTCTGGAGATGAACCCTAAACGGTGCTTCCCCTCTGTCCCACTTGTCAAATTAGGCTCTCACTTCAGTAAGGTAGGTAAACCTGTACAACTGGTATCTCTGGGATAGTGCTATTTCCACTGTGACTTACGTCTTCATCACGATTACTAATATGTCGTTATTAACATGAGCATTTCTGTCCTTCAGGTGAAAGATTTCCTGTATAGATTCTCCAACATTCCCGATATGTTGGAACTCGATCATCTAACGGTGTCTGGAGATGTTACCTTTGGCAAAAATGTCACCCTCAAGGTCAGTAGCAAATGTCATCATTGGGAAGTTAACAGGTTTTGTGAATCAGTACAAAAAATAATGGAAATGGTACAATTTATATTACTTATTAGCTCACCTGCAGGTCCAAAGGACTAAGGTGAGCTTATGCGGTACTGTGGCATCCGTCGTCCTACTGTCAACAATTTCGTCAAACGACTTCTTCTTAAGCACTATAACTGTAATTTATCCACATTTGACAAGCATCCCTATGTAGTGGATACCTGGAGATCTGAGGGGTGGGTTTATTTTCCCTTTAAACACAATATTTCAGTGGTAAAAATCTAATATATATAATATCACTGTTTATAACAGGGAACAGTCATCATCATAGCCAATCATGGTGAGAGAATTGACATCCCCTCTGGATCTGTGTTAGAAAACAAAATTGTTTCTGGAAATCTCAGAATTCTGGATCACTAGTCTACCTGATGTTGATGCTGCTCCCTCAGACTTTCCATAACACAGCCTGGGATACAAAAACACAGTGAGGGCCCAACCTACAACAACAACACGGGATCTTAAATACAACCAGAGCCCAACCTACAACAAGAGCGCAGAAACACAACGAAAGATCCCAAAACAACAAGGGACACTAAAATAAGTGGAAAAACGTGAATGTCAATGGATCCTTAAGTAAAAGCAGGGATCTACAATGGATCCCTACAGAGACGTCCAATATTTGAACTTAATGGAACTTTTATGTACTAAACATAATACTAATGTCAAAAATGTTATTTTGTTGTCTGTTGATGCTTAAAAGTGTTATTTTGTTTGTAAATTTTGATTTTAAGAAAAGCATTTAAACACCGAGTTATTTCCTTTAAATGATATGTATTGTCCAATGCTTCAACTTGTTGCCATGGTTCCAGCAGACCATGACAATATGTCTGTAGTATAGACATCGAGTGTGAAGCATGTGTGTTGTACCGTGTGTTTAAACTCCCCTACTAGTCTGCTGGTTGTGTACTGATTATTCCCAAGCAATGTACACTTAGGAATAACAGATGAAACTTTGTTGTGACTTGGGTGAAAACTTCCCTAAAGAGATACAGTATTGTCACACCTCGTTTTACCTATATTACATGGGTGGGTTTTGAGAGGCTGTAGTGTTTATGTGTGGTGTCGTCTGTTCTGGTACGTAGATATTGTAGCTTGTTAGCCAGAGTTGTTTCACATCGTTACGGTGATTATGAGATTATCACGATGAGCAGGGATAGGCTGACTACTAATGTGAAATAGAAAGCTTCTCACAATATTTAATCATCATAATTAAGAATAGTTTTCCTTGGAAGTCCCATACCTGTTCAGTATATGTTTATTTGATTAACTATGCAGAATGTCCAGAATTACAAACAGAATGTATGTTACAGATATGTACCAGACAATCTTTAGGCTATAGAATATAGGAGATCTAGAGTGCTATTTGTGATTGCTGGAATGAGAACTGTTATGGATTACCAATAATTAGCTTCTAGCTGGAATATAAATTGTTGTTACGGATTATAAAAAGTTGTTACCGTATGAGGATATTTTGCTTTTTGCAGTAGCAGGTATAAAGACTGACATTTAGTGTTACCGCTTTATTTCAGGGAGTCGGAGTCTGAGCAATTACTTACAGAATTTTACAATGTATATGTTGCAGCGTGTGGAAACTAGAGTTTTGATATGGAGGCGTTGCTGTCAGAGAGCATTGTAGAACTTTACAATATAACTCAGCAATGTAGCTGAGCCCAGCTTATTTCGACATGAAAGAGAATTGTCAACAGGGCCGAAGTGAGGTGAAATAGGATGTGTATGTGTATGGCTGAACTGCAGTAAGATAGGATATAGGGAATCCAGTTGTGTGCGTATCTGACAACAAAGAGGAGGTTGAAGGGAGTGGTGCTGGTTCATCATCACTCTATTGACTAGGAGCAGCGCCATTTATGGGTAGAGAAATTTTCTGTCGATATTTTATGTTCTTGATGCATAATTTTGAATTGTTTATCTAATATATATTTAGTTTGTTGGTATAAACACATGAGTGGTGTGGTAATCATGAGTGTATTTCACGTACATTCATCGTTATATTTGTATTTCAATTGTTGCAGCATATCTACATCATTTACACAAATCCAAGCAGAATCTTTGTCGAATAAAAGAACTACCAATGGACACAGGAAAATACTGAGACTTTTTTAGATATCATAATGAATGAAGGGGTATATTAACTCTATAACATTTTTATTGAAAAGGGTAATTGTAACTTGTAAATTTACTGTATTACAGTGTATAGTGAACCATCTAGTCACTAGTTTTTGCGCAGCTAGAGTTTTTCTTTGGTCCGTACAGCACTGTTGTAATAATTGGCAGTCTCATTATCTCCACCCAGCAGAGGCACTTGGATTAACTTTGGAGAAAATCTCGGTAACAAATATATTCAAGTTTGTTTTTATTTTGATAAAACATAAGATATTGATTGATGCTAATTAAACACTTTTTAAATACCTTGTTGGCGTAACATGAGGTTGCTGGTGGTGTGGATATGTGAGATATCAGACAGCTGAGTCAATGGAGTTTACAACAAGTGAGCTGTGAGATATCAGACAGCTGAGTCAATGGATGTTACAACAAGTGATCTGTGAGATATCAGACATCTGAGTCAATGGATGTTACAACAAGTGAGCTGTGAGATATCAGACAGCTGAGTCAATGGATGTTACAACAAGTGGGCTGTGAGATATCAGACAGCTGAGTCAATGGATGTTACAACAAGTGTAGTAGACAGATGTGTTATTTGACTTGTGTACGAGTGTAAGGTATCAGACAGCAGTATAAGTGGATAGTTAAGAGTGTATGCACAACTTATCAAAAGTTTCTGTTTAGTGGAATCAACGCATTTTACATGAACAAGGAAACATTTGTTTGAAAAAGCTTAATGATTTGTTTGCCTTTAACTGTGCTAGTCACAAAATTATAAAATTATAACCAGATTGTTCCTACACTTTTTGCATTAAGTGATATAGAGCTAGTATATACATCCAGCGGTGTACAGGTTTACAATGTATGTAGCCATAGTTTATTCATATTATAGTTAATAACATAAAAAGGGCATGTTTCCTTAGTGATCACACAATTTCAGTATTTATTTGGTGGTTTACAAAAGAACCATTTGGTTTATGTTTCCACGATGAGCTGTCAAGCCTCTGTAATCCAGCCACTGTTAACCCAGTTGTCCCTTTAATCCAGTCAATAGTTGAGTTACCCTGCCTTCCAGTCACCACTGATCTAGTTGTCCCTTTAATCCAGTCAATACTTGAGTTACCCTGCTATCTATAGTCACCACTAATCCAGTTGTCCTTTAATCCAGCCGCCACTTATCTTGTCACTTTAATCCAACGTCCACTACACTTATGTTGCTATCCAGTCACTAATCTGGTTGCTCCGTTATGCTATTCAGAACTGTTCAGATAGCTGGTTAGGCAGGTTGCTGGATTACAGAGGCTATGCTCTAGGTAGGTGGTTTGTAACTGTATGCTTGTGTGTGGCATCGGGGATTGTTATGGAGATGTTAATGAGACATGACGATAGTAATTGTACATTAAATGTAAAATCTATTGTACTTTGTGTTTTTGATGATTTTCTTTCTGAGTAATTTATGTAGGAACTAGAATCTTGTTTTTCTGAACAGAACATATGTCTCCCCTTATTAGCCAATAGAAAAACTTAACAAAGGGCCATATCGCTTTACATAGTGGGACACGAGGCCCGAATTAAGAATTTGACACTCCTACTTCCCAAGATACATTAAAACTTTAGCAAGTTTGGTCAAAGTAGGTGAAACTAATCGACGACAGACCGATATGAAAAAAGTCGATAAAACGTCAGAATAATTCGGACTAGTCAGTAAGGGACCTGTCTTGTGGCAATACATCCCCCATAATCATCAAGAAGCAATCTGTCCATATAGCTGAGGTTGATGTTTGACATTTGGACTTCAAAAAAAATTGCAAGGAAGCAAAATATACATTTTACATGTACTATAATGTGAGTCTTGTTTCCTTCCACTTCCATATTTGCTGGGCAAACAGAAATGTAAATATCGGTGCAATACTCATTTGTTAGCTTGGATTCGTTTTATTTCACCTTAAATACCTCCCCCATCAAGAACCAGGGTCAAAGTAAGAGATCCACTATGTCTTTGACCTTTGGACCCGAATGACCTTGACCTTTAACCCAGTGACCCTGATCTTTAGTCAGTTGACTCATTCTTCAATTCCGACCAACTTCATAATATCATAACAAATTGTTAGTGAACAGTGAACAATACAAACCTTGACCTATGACCAAGTGACCTTGACCTTTGGTGTAATTCCGACCAACATTGCTTCAAAGTGTCATAACAAAATGTTCATCAGGGAAAAGATACAAAATTTGACCTTGACCTTTGACCCAGTGACCTTGACCTTTCAGCAATTGACTCCTTGTTAAATTCTGACCAACTTTGCTTTATAATGTCGTAACAAAATGTTAATCAGTGAATAGATACAGAATTTGACCTTGACCTTTGACCCAGTGACCTTGACCTTTGGTCAGTTGATACCTTGTTTGTTTGTGACGCACAGACCGATGAATTAGTATAGGGCCCCAATAACATGGAAGTTATGCCGTGGACAAATTTCGGTATTAAAATTAAACAAAGGGCCATAACTCTGTATATCGTGACGCATGAGACCTAATTCCAGTACACTGCACACCTTCTGTGAGTGATGCAGGTATATATACTTCAAGTTTTATTAGCTCACCTGCCCGAAGTAATCAAAAGGCCTAGGATAATAATATTTGGCCAGTCGCATCCTGGAATCAAGGGCTACCAAGTTTGTTCAAATGAATGACCTTCTCCCATTTTCAAGGTCACAGGGGTCAAATATGTTAAAATCTTTGAACGACTTCTTCTGAAGAACCAAGAGGCCAAGGGTGATGATATTTGGCCAGTAACATGCTGGAATCGAGGGCTACCAATTTTGTTCAAATGAATCCCCTTCATCCATTTTTAGGTAACCTGCCCGAAGGGCAAGTGAGCTTATGTCGTGGTGCGGCGTCCGTAGTCCGTCGTCCGTCGTCCGTCCGTCCTCGTCCGTCAACTTTTCCTTTAAACAACTTCTTCTGAAGAACTGATAGGCCTAGAGTCATGATATTTGGCTGAAAGCTTTGATGGTAGGAGCCCTACAAAGTTTGAGAACGAAAATGACCTTGACCTACTTTAAGGGTCACAGGGGTCAAATATGTCAAAAACTTCAAACGACTTCTTCTGAAGAACTAAAAGGTATAGAATCTTCATATTTGGCTGATGGCTTCCTGGGATGGAGCTTAACTAAGTTTGAGAATGAAAATGACTTTAACCTCCTTTCAAGGTCACAGGGGTCAAATGTGTCAAACACTTCAAACGACTTCTTCTGAAGAACTAAAAGGTATTGAATCTTCATATTTGGCTGATTGGTTCCTGGGATGGAGCCCAACAAAGTTTGAGAATGAAAATTACCTTGACCTACTTTCAAGGTCACAGGAGTCAAATGTGTAAAAAGCTTCAAATGACTTCTTCTGAGGAACTGAGAGGTATAGAATCGTTATATTTGGCTGGTGGCTTCCTGGGATGGAGCTTAAGAAAATTTGACAATGAAAATGACTTTGACCTACTTTCAAGGTCACAGGGGTTAAATGTGTCAAACACTTCAAACAACTTCTTCTGAAGAACTGAAAGGTATAGAATCTTCATATTTGGCTGGTGGCTTTCTGGGGTAGAGCCCAACAAAGTTTGCGAATGAAGATTAGTTTGACCTACTTTCAAGGTCACAGGAGTCAAATGTGTAAAAAGCTTCAAATGACTTCTTCTGAAGAACTGAAGGGTATAGAATCTTTATATTTGGCTGGTGGCTTCCTGGGATAGAGCCTTACAAAGTTTAAAGAAGAAAATTAGTTTGACCTACTTTCAAGGTCACAGGGGTCAAATATGTCAAAAACTTCAAACGACTTCTTCTGAAGAACTAAAAGGTATAGAATCTTCATATTTGGCTGATTGGTTCCTGGGATGGAGCCCAACAAAGTTTGAGAATGAAAATTACCTTGTTCTACTTTCAAGGTCACAGGGGTGAAATGTGTCAAAAGCTTCAAATTAATTCTTCTGAAGAACTGAGAGGTATAGAATCTTTATATTTGATTGATGGCTTCCTGGGATAGAGCCCGACAAAGTTTGAGGAAGCAAATGACCTTGACCTTTTTTCAAGGTCACAGGGGTCAAATGTGTCAGACACTTAAACGACTTCTCCTGAACAACTGAAAGGTATAGAACCTTAATATTCGACTGGTTATTTCCTGGGAAAGAGCCCAACAAAGTTTGCGAATGAAAGTGACCTTGACCTACTTTCAAGGTCACAGAGGTCAACAACATTTTAATGGATTTGTTCTTAAGAACTAAAAGGAATGGATTCATAAGATTTGGCTGGTAGCTTTTGGAATAGAGCTTACCAATTTGAGAAGGAAAATGACTTTGACCTACTTACAAGGTCACAGGGAAAAATATGTTAAGCAACTTCTGAAGAATCAAAAAGCATAGAATCTTGTAATAATATTTTGCTGGTAGTTTCAACAGATGGAGCCAACAAAGTTTGTGAGGGAAATATTTTTAGTGCAATATAATATTTAATGAGAACATTTTGCTATGACTGCTTAAATATTCAGGTGAGCGATACAGGCCCTCTTGGGCCTCATATCAAGGTCACAGGGGTCAAATATGTTAAAAACTTTAAACAACTTCTTCTGAATAACCAAAATGCCCAGAGTGATGATAATTGGCCAGAAGCATGCTGGGATGAAGGGCTACCAAGTTTGTTCAAATGAATGACCTTGACAGGTCACAGGGGTCAATTGTCTTAAAAAATCTTTAAACAACTTCTTCTGAATAACTAAGAGGCCTAGGATAATGATATTTGGCCAGTAACATGCTAGCAAGTTTGTTCAAATAAATGACCTTGACTTATATTCAAGGTCACAGGGGTCAAATATGTTTAAAACCTTTGAATGATTTCTTCTTAATAATCAATAGGCCAAGGGTGATGATATTTGGCCATTAACATGGTGGTATAAAGGGCTACCAAGTTTGTTCAAATGATTGACCTTCGCCCATACTCAAGGTTACAGTTGTCAATATATGTTCAAATCTTTAAATGATTTGTTCTGTATAACCAAAAGGTCCAGGGTAATGATATTTTTCTAGAAGCATGCTGGGTTTGAAGACTATAAACTCTGTTCAACCTAATGTCCTTGTTCGACATTCAAGGTCACAGGCGTCATATGTTTAAATCTTTTCATAAGTTTTTATGAATCAAACACTGATATTCTGCCTGTAGTTGTATTTTAGTCCACTTTTAAGATTACAAGTGTGAGATTAAAACCAGGTGAGCGTTTCAGGCCCATTGGGCCTCTTGTTCAAAGTACTAAGATAATGTTCAGGGGCCTGTAACTGAAACATCGTTCTTAACTTTATATTTACGGAATGGTTTAAGATGACACAAAGTTTCTGGTAAGAGTGTAACTGAAATCCATTCGTAAGTGGCTCTTCTAGTCGTAAACCTCTCTGAAAAAACGTACGTAAGAATGGCGATAAGAGCGAGATATTTTCCGGAAAATTCACTTCACCGCTTTCCATTTTGCTGGTTATTTGTTCACAGTGTCCTCGCTGCGTTTGTTATACAAGGTCTTTTGTTATGTAATGGTAAGAGTATGTTTGACACCTGTAAAAACAAAACGACGGCTAGGCAGAAATCTAAAGGGTTTTGTAGTGAGAATTATCATCATGGCAGCTACATGTATGCCAAAAGCAAACCGCAAAAGAAATCCAAACTATACTATTGAAGAATTGGAAATACTGCTGCGAGGAGTCCGACCCACCTTTGATGCAAAATCAGGTCGCCTTTACCTAATGATGTTTTAGATCGAATATGGACAAAATTATATTATTCCTACAGAAGAAGAATTTTCAAGAATTTGCTAAATTACCTCTATGGGGCCCCACCTCTCATCAGGCCCCATGGGGGTCAGACACACCATTTACACAAAATTGATTTCCCTTCCGTATAGGATGCTTCTGTTCAAATTTCCTGTAGTGGCCTGGTGGGACAATAAATTAAATCCTTACATTGGTTCCATGGTATTATTATGAATGTATATTTCCAGAGATACATATATTTAAGTATAATGAGCAAGTAGGGTTGTCCGTGAATTCAAGAATCACACAAATATTTATTAAACACAATTTAACAAAGGGACATCAAGCTATTGTTGTTCATCATATGACTCGGTTATTGGAAACATAGTCACAAAACTATGCATTGTGGCCATTATTTACTGTGCAGGTTGGCATAGTCTTTGAACGGAAAGCTAACAGGATGTTTAAGATTGTCGGAAGATGAGAGAATGTACTACAAAGTTACCAAATGAGAAAGTAAAAGACGGTGTTTAGAAAGTAGAATGGCCGCTTTAAGTAATGAAATTCCTGTTGAATGGAAACGGCGTTCAATAATGAAGGAAAATAGGCGAATGATGAACCCAGGTATTCCAAATATTCCGAATAATGAAGCGAATGGTGATGAACATTGCCAAAGGAATAAACACAAAATGGTATCTAGCACAACTTTTGACCTGATGAGATCAGCCAAATAGTTCGTAAGGATTATTTTCCACGAGAAGGTGTTGTAAGTAAGATCCATGTACTTTGGTAATGCAACATCATCTTTGATTTTATTAAACTTGCATATGGTTGTACGCAACAGCGGAGGAGTAGACAATAACCGGTGACGCCTTCCTCCTGTATTGTTTTTATGGGTCACTAGTTTCCTGCTCCCCAGGACCTCGTTCTTTGACCTCCGTAGACGTTTTCTCTCCTTACTTGTTGATCTACGGCGCCCCATCTTCGTGGCATTGACATTCCTCTGGACCGTTCGATCAGGAAACTCTCAGGAGGGAATTCCTCTGACCAGCCCCTCTGTCTACAAGCTGTTCACTGATGACCGTAAGACAGTATGAAGATCTGTGTTGTTATAGTGCTTCTTCAGGAGATAAGTATTTGAAGAGGGCACCGGGTTCGTCCTACAGCATCTTTTTGTTGGCCTAAAGGGTTATGGCTCTTGCAAGGATTTATATCTGATCTTGTCAGACAGACACTTTCTTTAGGTTCCTTACTTAATCTCGCACAATGGATTATGAATCCTTGTTACGAGATTTGTTCCCTATGCCGTATACTAAATTTAGATATTCTTTCTTTGAACAGCCGACTTCCCACGTGTCGCTGGTCGTGGACGAAAGAACTTTTGGCGGTAAGCTCTGGATTGGATTTTGTCCCTCCGTTATGGGTTTATCTCTAAACAATTGTGCTTGATAAACTCGAGAAAGCTACAATGTATCTATTCACGAGTTTTAATGTCATGCTTTATTAAGGCAATCTCATAAGACTGTTTTTGTGGCCTCAGTTTCAATTTAGTACACACTAAAATTCTTGCTGTCTCATGGCAAAGAGGGAAGGCGAAGGCCGTAGTCTTATATTGCAATGAGAATCGTTCTTTCATTTTTGTGTCGCCTGCGAAAAGCTGGTGACACAGGTATTGCTTTGTCGGCGGCGTCGTCGTCGGCGTCGTCCGAACATAGGTTTTTGTGCGATAACTTGAGTTTCCTTGGGCCGATCAAACTCAAACTTCATGCAGTGCTTCCTTACCAAAAGTGCTTTTTTGGGATTGCTTTTCAGGTCCGAAGGTCAAAGGTCAAGGTCACTGTTACTATAAATAGAAAATATGTTTTCGTGCGATAACTTGAGTTTCATTGGGCTGATCAAACTCAAACTTAATGTAGTGCTTCCTTACCTAAACTGCTTGCTTGGGATTGCTTTTCAGGTCCGAAGGTCAAAGGTCAAGGTCACTGTTACTATAAATAGAAAATCTGTTTTCGTGCGATAACTTGAGTTTCCTTGGGCAGATCAAACTCAAACTTCATGCAGAGCTTCCTTACCAAAAGTGCTTGCTTGGGATTGCTTTTCAGGTCCGAAGGTCAAAGGTCAAGGTCACTGTTACTATAAATAGATAGAAAGTTCCTTAAAACTCATAGTATTCTTCCCAGAATAACAGATTATATAACAAAATGATGCCATCCAAAACATAATCTATGATTATTGCTTACTTTTAACATTATTTCTTGAAATGAAAAGTGTATCTATTTCTTCGTATTCTTCCAGCTTCCCGTGCAGGCGACACATCCACTTTCGTGGAATTCTTGTGTAAAGATCGCGTGGCAAGGTACGTACTCTGAATCAGTGAATAACATGTTAATTTGTTCCGACATAGACAGTGTGCAATATAAATGAAACTCCAGAATGATATTATGTATCACCCCCAAGCTTGTATAAAGCCAATATATAGTCCACGTCTCTGACGCACTGTCACCTTGATGTTGAAGTCAATATATAATGTTTTGGGTTCATTGCGTGCGTAACAAGCTTATCTGATTTTAATATTTTCATTTCTTGTGTACTGATACTGTAACTGTTTGTGTATTACACTGCCCGCGCAATATCTGTCCCCTCTCCTCTTATATTTTTATAAACTCGGTGTTGAACTGTTGACACTTCCACAGCATCAATTAAATTGGTCAGCGAACCCTGATAGAGACGTTTGTACCTGTAAGGTCAGTGGTCCGTAGTAGTAACAGGGTAAAAGTGTTAAATTTCAAGTTTTTAATCCGATAATCTTTTTCTTGCATGATGGATAAACAGGTAGGTTTTTTCTTGGTGAAAATTGAAATACATGGTAATATTCATGATTCATTCCACTCTCCATTTTACTTTAAAAAATGCAAGTTGGGAAAGTACAAGGTGGCTAGCCAAGACAGGTATCCAACCTAATTTTGTGCAACACTATATGGTTCAGATTACATGCGTAGCAAAATAAACTGGAATGGTAACACCTGTCCGAAAAATTCTGGATCCGCCCCTGGTCAGTTCTAAATGAAATGAAATAAAAACCGTTGAACATGGAAAAAGCATGACTATTAAAAATGACTGTTAAATATTATATAAAATAATAAACTTTGTAACAATAAAAACAACCAAAACATCAAATGATGTATTCCTTCTTGTATTTCAGGCAGCGCAGGGAGATTTTGGAAAATGTGAATAAATCCAAAGAGGCTTCAATTATCAAAAACAACTGGATTGGAACTGAAGATATTATTATATGCAATAAAGATTTAACACGTGATCATTAAACGGACTGCGTATACGTGCTGTTCAGTTGTGGCCCAATATGGATTCAAAAGTGTCCATCAAAGCCATTGTATCACAATTATATTTTTAGATACACTGGGAATACATGATATCTCATCAAAAACTCAAAATTTTCCTTGATGGAGACCTCCCCTCTAGTTGAGGCCATAGCTCCCTCAGATATCCTCCCCACTTAGTCACTTTCTTAATTGGTTGGTGCATTTTGCAACAGTTCATGGGGCCCCCTTTATGGGTATCGAGCCTCGTATTGGTATGTCCTGGAATCAGAACTTTACCATTAACATAATCATACGAAGAGGTGTATACTGACATATGACCTATGGAAAAATCCTATCTGACCTGAAGACATTTGTGACACACGTGCACTGCTGATTGTCAGTAGGAAATATATGTTTCACCCTCTACCAATAGGCACTAAGGAGATATTGCAAGTCATATACTTATTCATTCGGAAGTTAACTCTTTATTTATGGCAGAAGCAGAGCCCAAAGCTTCTTAAAGCAGTACTTGTTGTTCCTCGGAGGGAAAATACATTTCAGACTATTGCCAACAAAGACATTAGATAAGAGTAAATATTCGTTCACATTATTTTCAGGAAATTTAAATGGTGTTTATCCTGCATCTAAACTGTCTGTTATGTGTTCGTTTTTCCTAAAATGTTATATGCATTATTATATGTATATAACTATGGAAAAATATTGCAACATCAAGAAAGCATGTGTCTGGAGTACTTTCAGTACTTTGATTCTAGTAGATGTTGGTCTAGAAGAGATGGCGATATAAATGATGGTATCGTCGGCAAAAAGCCTGACTTTAACATAAAAAATAGACAGTGGCTCAGAATCGAAACTTGGGGCACACCTGCCAGAACTGGACAGACATTAGATTCATTATTTAAAAGGCCTATTACATTCTATCAATTAGGTTATGTAACCGTGGTATATTATTTGCAGAAGGATTAGTGTATATATTTAAAAATATTCAATGTCCATGTGATATGGGTAAGTATAGGAAAAAAAGATATAACGATCGATTTCAAAACAAGCAGCTTTCACCCCTCACATGGCTTTTGAAAGTCGGTCGTTATATCTTATTTTTTCAATATACCGGTTTATTTGTTGCGTATTTAATAGACATACAGCATTGCTGCGTCTGCTAAAAATATCTCAGATATGGCCTATGTGAGTATCTGGGTAAGTCAGGACATGTGATAAGATCAATGTCATAATCTGGACCGAACATCACGGAATACATTCAGGCATAGCTGGAGTGGGGTTTGATCGTGACTGTACACTAGTGAATCTGNATACCGGTTTATTTGTTGCGTATTTAATAGACATACAGCATTGCTGCGTCTGCTAAAAATATCTCAGATATGGCCTATGTGAGTATCTGGGTAAGTCAGGACATGTGATAAGATCAATGTCATAATCTGGACCGAACATCACGGAATACATTCAGGCATAGCTGGAGTGGGGTTTGATCGTAACTGTACACTAGTGAATCTATCCAACGTTTTGACGGTATGTCTGGTACCGGGATGGCGTCCATTTCTACCTTCACCCCCGGGGGTGTTGCGGGGACGCTGGCTCTGGGTGCGGTCATCTATGCCCTATATCAGTTAATACGATTTCTGTGGTATATGCGTTACCTAAGTAACGTGTTTCGGGATGTACCTGGACCTGGAAATTCCCATTGGTTGTACGGGGACATGTTTCAGGTAAACAGCTTAAAGTAAAATGGGTTGAATTTTAAAGGGAATTAGCTGTGAATAGTCTTAAAGAAATTTGAGCTTGAAAGGGTTTCTGACTGTTTCCTATTTCAATATAGAAATATTTCAATTTCAATTTCAATTTCACGGCTTTGGAAATTTATCAATCTGATTTTCTATGGAGCATACAATTGCATGTATGTACAACTAGAACACTGACAGGTCAGTAAGGGCCCCGTCTTGTGGCAATATATCCGCCATAATCATCATTTATCTATGTGTACATAGTACGTCACATGATTTAAATGTAATTCATATGCTGTATTCGTGGAGAAGAGCTTGTAAGTTTGTAAGTTATTAGAACTTGTCTCTCACCCATTTGTCTGTTTCGACAATAAAATGTGTTTAAATCAATCATCAAGAAGCAATCTGCCCATATAGCTGAGCTTGACGTCTGATAATTGGACTTCAAAAAGAATTGCAAGGAAGCAAAATATACATTTAAACATGTACAAATGTACTATGATGTGCGTCTTGTTTCCTCCCACCTCCATATTTGCTAGGCTAACAGAAATGTAAATAGCGGTGCAATACTCATTTGTTAGCTTTGATATGTTTTATTTCACTTTAAATACATCCTCCATCAAGAGCCAGGGTCAAAGTCAGTGATACACTTTGCCTTGGACCTTTGGACCCAAATGACCTTGACCTTTAACCCAGTGACCCTGATCTTCGGTCAGTTGACTTATTCTTTGATTCCGACCAACTTTGCTTCATTATATCATAACAAAATGTTCATCAGTGAAAAATACAAAACTTGACCTTGACCTTGAACCTTTGGACCCTGTAACCTTGACCTTAGGTCATTTAACTCGGTGTTAAGTTTTGAACATCTTTGCTTCATAAAAATACAATATTTGACCTTGACATTGACCCAGTGACCTTGACCTTTGGTCAGTTGACCCCTTGTTTAATTCTGACCAACATTGCTTCTTAGTGTCATAACAAAATGTTCGTCCGTGAAATGATACTAAATTTGACCTTGACCATAGATCTAGTGACCTTGACCTTAAGTCAGTTGACTCTTTGTGGAATTCCGACCAACTTTGCTTCATAATGTCATAACAAAATGTTCTTAAGAAAAAAGATACAACATTTGACCTTGACCTTTGATTGTTTAATTCTGAGCAACATTGCTTCAAAGCATCATAACGAAATATTCACCAGTGGAAAGATACAAAATTTAACCTTGACCTTTGATCCAATGACTTTGACCTTTGTTCAGTTGCTTTTCTTATTTAATTCCGACCAATATTGCTTCATAGTGTCATACCAAAATGTTCATCAGTGAAAAAATCGAAAAATAGACCTTGACCTTTGAACCTAATGACCTTGACCTTTGACCTCGACTTTTTACCTCAGTGTGTCTCTTTGTTTAATTTCGACCAAATTTGCTTCACAATGTCATAAAATGTTCATTAGTAAAAAGATACAAAATTTGACCTTGACCTTTGACCTAGACCTCTGACCCGATGACCTTGACCGTCGGTCAGTTGACTCCTTGTTTAATTCTGATCAACTTTGCTTCATCATGTCATAACAAAATGCTCATCAGTGAAAAGATGCAAAATTTGACCTGGACCTTTGAACCTTATGACCTTGACCTTTGACCTTGACTTTTTACCTGAGTGTGTATTTTTGTGAACTGAACATCTTGACCAAGTTTCAGGTAAATCGGTCAATTAATACCAAAGTTATTAGCCAGGAACAAAATGTGTGGACGGTCAGACAGACAGACAGACAGAGTGATTACTATAGGGCACCCTTATCTCCGATACGGGGCCCTAATAAGATAGAAATGTGTGATGTTTACGTTCACACCTGAAACTATGACGTAGCTACGTAACACACCCGTGGGATTAGCTTTGCCGTAATGCATTAAAATAGATGTACTGCATACTAACAGTGAGCTTTACATTTACATTATCATCTCTTTTTTGAAAATCCCGTCTCGATGTCTGCAAGCTAACTATTGGTTCTTCAAGTCTTGACTTGTACGTCAGCATTTATAACGATACACAGGGTTATACTTCTATAGTCAATGATCATGGTGAATCACGGAAAATGCTTTTGTAAAATTCAGTTATTATCAGACCAGGAACATTGGCTGTATCGGACTGTTATCATCACACTCTTCTGACCCACCAGGTCACATCGGTGCATGCGTATTGAGTCGGTTACCTTTACACACAGTCTGCAGTACACCTTCCCAGTGTGGACAGGAGATGTCATCCTACATCAGCCGTCACGATCGCTCGAGTCGGAGACAGAATCCTTGTTATGAGTTCCAAGTAACTAACGGAAAGCGGTCTTTTGAAAAGGTAGCGAACACTTTGCCGAAAAGTTTACTATCCGCAGAAAGAGAGATTCAAACCCTCGTTAACTGCACAGAAAGTAACAAAACACCTGTTCACGTCTGTATTTTAGACCTTTAGTTGAAATGCTTGGTCTTGGTGTTACACGTTTATATCAAAGATGCTTGGAAGATGGTAATTCATATTTTCGTCAGGGAACTGCTACATCGACAACCCCGAAAGTTTAAGAGTCTGCAGACGACTGAAGACAGTATGATGACATAGGAGTAGAGGGAAACGAGGGAGAGTGACACACCGATATCGGTTATACATACAATATTAGAGTTTACAGAAGCTGGCGTTCACCGGTTATTTGTACAACACAATATAAAGAATAAGGTAGGAATATCATAATTGAAGAAATATATTAAAAATATACTCGGATGATATAAACAAGACTAAATTTCCGAACCATCAGTTCATAACATCTTTTGAAGAAGGCTTATACAGAAAGCGTCAAACTAGAAGAGTTTGACCAGGAAGAATGAGCACATCACAAACGTACCAAGTTCTGGACAACATCAGCGTGTTGGTGAACTCCCTAATGTCGACCTTTCACAAACTACCAGGCCCAGATGATGTTTCTCTCCGGCTGTCAAACGACCTGCAGGAAGTAACTACTCCTTTTCGATATCTTATCTTTATGGAATATTCTACCACACAAAAAACAGATTGGTCGGAAAAAGCTGATGTCACCCCAGCCATGAAGAAACGCGACGGTGACGTTTTCAGAATATATGTGCGTATGAGCAGTTTTTTCCAAGGTAGGTTTAGACAGAAAAACAGGGTTGTTTTCCACCAGAAACAACAACAACGGGAGTGCTCCTATGAGGTTTGGGTGAAAACGACGTCTTTTACTATCTACATCAGAACGAACAGATTTTGTGACGCCCAGAAAAAGAAAGATCTTACCATCCCAAAACATGGTCATGCCGTCATCTGTAGCAATAGGGGTGTTGTGTAGTCCAAAACCATACTATGCTCCATTGTATATAGGCGGGGTTGGGAGCAAAGGGAAAGCTTCTGGCTGTAGGACACAACCAACTCAGTCTGCAAGATCTGAATCTACGAACTGTAGGTTTATAGGACGACGCATTATACGATCATTGACTGAGTAATTTTGCGATCTGATAGCATCATGAATGATCTGAATGGCATCTCTAAATACCTGTGATATGTGGTGTCCCCAGCATTCAGGTCCTTAAATTAAAGTCGACTTCAACTTACCCCGTTACTTACCGTACCACACTGGCCCTGTTGATCACGTCTCCCTAGGGCTGTACCGCCTACGTCCTCCAACAAGCTGCCTGTCGACTGCACTGTTCGTTGACCACGTACATACTCCACTGTATTGCATTGCTTGACGACCTAGTCCTTCACCGCATTGCCAATAGATCGAGTCCTTCACCGCATTGCCAATAGATCGAGTCCTTCACCGCATTGCCAATAGATAGAGTCCTTCACAGCATTGCCAATATATCACGTCCTTCACCGCATTGCCAATAGATTTTCATTTCAAAATATTTTATTAAATCAATTGATTCAATGGGAATTGGGCAACAGGCTATGCCTATACAAGCTCTCTCCCTTGGGTTACATACATTTCAAACAATAACATAATTATAATTTAGACATTAACATATTAGCACTGGCTTGGAACATTAAATAGTACTTAATACTTAATACTTAGTAGTCTCTATCTATCTCTGAATTATGCAAAATAAAAAAAATAAAATAAAAAATAGAATTACTGATATAAAACAAATATATTTGTTTTTTTTAGTTATTTTTTCTTCACATAGTAACCAGTATATATAAATTATATTTTAAAATGGAAAGCCATGTGTGTATACTCATTTGTAAATAATCAAATTTTAATTTTTTTACAAAATATATTAATAGCAAAAACTGGAACCTTCATTCAATACAGTAAATGTTAAATGTTATTAGTTGATAATTTGTAACACCAACAAGTCATCCATCACCACTCCTACTCCAGATAACAATAATAACTGGGCAGCACTAAAATGCCCATACACACCACCACTGTGTGCTTACCCAGTCATTGACAATCCAGAGCATGAGCCGTGTTGAAGGAGTATTCATGTAGACATGTATACATACGCATTGGGACTATAATTAACAGTTATTTCAAAATCTGTTAGTAGACTCAATATATTTCTGAACACATACACAAATAGCAGAATTAGGATCATGACTAAGGTGGTTACTTCCCCTAGTTAGTATATTAATATTATTTACTAAATGTTCAATCAGGTTTAAGTCGAGATTTAAATGTAGGTTTAGTTGAATGTTAAGCTGCAAATGAGACAGAGAATCTAATAGGTTTTATCTTTGGATTATATACCTAGGGCAGTATAGAAAGAAGTGATCCACATCTTCGTCATGATTGCCATATAAACAGGATGGGCTATTAGTAAGGTGGTCTCTAAAAAGATCAGAATTTGATTGACTTGCCTGGTTTCTAAGTTGACATAAAATGACGTTAAAAGATCTAGTCCCTCCATATCTAAAATCATTTGTACATGTATCCTCAGCATTAGGAAGAATGGCATGATGGACGAGTTACTTTTTAAGTTCACTTACAGACCTCAAATTATAATAATTACAATCAGATCTATTCCAACGAGACATCATACTAGGGAAAACAAATGTTAAAATATATACTAGTTCTGCAAATGGGTGTTTGAAATACACGTTGATGTCGAATATCATGAGTCACTGAGTCACTAAGTCATTGTTTATAATATAAGGTTCAATGTTTTCAAACAGATAATTAGGGGTATGACGGTTTGTTATTTAAAAAAAATAGCATATGTTGCTGGTCATTTCTGCGTTTCTTAAGTGTATCCCATCCTAGTTCATTATAAATGACAGCATGACTAGTACCCCTACGTACTCCAGTAACTATTCTAGCAGCATCTAGCTGGATGGATTCAAAGACGATCGGATTCTGTCTGATTACAATTATTCCACAAAACACTTGCATACTCAAGGTTTGGACGAATATAAGATGAATATATTATTTCTAAAGATTTCCTGTCGAGTTTATACTTAAGTGATCTGAACAGATTCATTTTTTATATGTTTTTTCATAACGTTTGCCACAATGTTGTTAATGAATATAAGGTCAGGATGTAGTCCATCAGTATTATGTTTGTTTGAAATTAGTAGGGCTTCTGTTTTGTTGGGATTAAAAAAGTATACCCCATCTATTTGCCCACATAGATATTCTATTAAGATCATTATTTAAAATTTCAGCAGCAGCTATTTTATCATTATCTATTAGCACAAATAATGAAGTATCATCGGCAAAAAAATGACATTAGACTGAATTTCATTTTCTAAGTCATTAATATAAATAAGAAATAAATATGGACCGAGGACAGAGCCCTGTGGTACCCCAGCTGATAAATTCTTCCAGGAAGATTGAAATCCATGATTTACTACACGTTGCTGCCTATAAATTAAGTAATTAGAGAGCCAATTAAGCACATTATCTTTAATGCCATACTTTTTTAATCTATATACAAGTCCATCATGCCAAACCCTGTCAAATGCTTTACTAATATCGCAAAAAAAAGTCTTGTTTCTTTTCTTCTATCAAGTTGTTTAAGTATTATATCATATACTGTTAATAGCTGGTTCACTGTAGAGTCTTTAGGGAGAAAACCAGATTGATTTTTAGAAATTATATTGTTTGTTGACAGATAATTGAATAGATATTTAAAAACTATCTTTTTTTAAGCATTTTACTAAATAATGGTGTGATAGAAATAGGTCTGTAATTAGATGGATCACTCCTCACCCCCTTGCCCTTAAAAATAGCAGTGACATTAGCATTTTTCCAGATTTGAGGTAAATAGCCAGATTCCAGAGATTTATTAAAGATTGCCAAAAGATAACGCCCTTCACCGCATAGCCAAAAGATTAGGTCCTTCGACGCATTGCCAAAAATAGATCACGCCCTTCACTGCATTGCCAAAAAATCACGTTCTTCATCGCATCAACTGTCTGTTGACCATGTCCTCAAACGCACTGTCTGTCGACAATGTCCCCGGATCATGCGTACCTGGTTTTCTGAACTTCATCATCCTTTGAAATGCAAACTTGTTGTCACAAACTTGTTGTTTTAACCCTACAGTCCTCAACAGAAGGGGACAGGAGGCTAGAGTACTTACGCCAACTATGCAAACAGTTTCCACGCTTCTACCGCATTTGGATAGGCCCTAAACCTGTGATTATGTTAACGCATCCCGACACCATCAAGATTGTCCTCAAAACAGCAGGTATGTCCTCAAACAGCAGGTATGTCTTCAGATTAACAACAAGTATGTACTTAAACACAGGGATGTCCTCTAAACAACAGCAGGTACATTGTATGTCCTAATATCAAAAGCAGGTATGTCCTAAGATGAACAGCAGGTATGACCTCAAACAGCAGGTATGTCTTCAGATTAACAACAAGTATGTACTTAAACACAGGGATGTTCTCTAAACAACAGCAGGTACATTGTATGTCCTAATATCAAAAGCAGGTATGTCCTAAGATGAACAGTAGGTATGACAGACTCGTCACTTTGTTAAGTCAGGAAACAACCAGAAACAGCAAAGATGGCAGATTTCATGTCTTTATAAATAAAACAGTCGGAGTTTACTTGTTTTGGAGTTTTGAACACTGTTTCGTATGCGTGTATGCGTTTAAATACATATTTATTTTACACTAATACTAGAAAGTATTGATTGAATCGATGTGCCTGTCCCCTTGGTCCATGGGTAAAATAGAATAATCTAGGGACTTTAGCAGGGCATTTACTGTGATATAATACCCGTGGATTTGTCTTGTACTTGTAATGTCCTTGTTCAGGAAATATAGATCGTGGATGAATACCTGGTTACGGTGGTACATTTAATACATACGATCGACTGCTTAGACTTGACGTGAGCACTAGGGAAGGCATGTGGCACTCGAGATAAGAAATCGAGTGATCGACATAATGTGTTAAACGCTCGAGATAACTAATGAAGAACATAATAGTGTGCATGTCTTAAATGTACCACAGTACCTGTTATGTCCTTAATGTACCACAGTACCTAATGTTATGTTCCTATGTACCACAGTACCTGTTATGTCCTAAATGTACCACAGTACCTAATGTTATGTTCCTATGTACCACAGTACCTGTTATGTTCCTATGTACCACAGTACCTGTTATATCTTAAATGTACCACAGTACCTGTTACGTTCATATGTACCACAGTCACTGTTATGTTCCTATGTACCACAGTAACTGTTATGTTCCTATGTACCACAGTACCTGTTATGTTCCTATGTACCACAATAACTGTTATGTTCCTATGTACCACAGTACCTTTTATGTTCCTATGTACCACAGTACCTGTTATGTCCTAAATGTACCACAGTAACTGTTATGTTCCTTATACCACAGTACCTTTTATGTTCCTATGTACCACTGTACCTGTTATGTCCTAAATGTACCACATTACCTGTTATGTCCTAAATGTACCACAGTACCTGTTACGGTCATATGTACCACAGTCACTGTTATGTTCCTATGTACCACCGTACCTTTTATGTTCCTATGTACCACAGTACGTGTTATGTTCCTATGTACCACAATACCTGTTATGTCCTAAATGTACTACAGTACCTGTTATATCCTAAATGTACCGCAGTACCTGTTGTGTTCCTATGTATCACAGTACCTGTTATGTCCTAAATGTACCACAGTACCTGTTATATCCTAAATGTACCACAGTACCTGTTTTGTCCTAAATGTACCACAGTAACTGTTATGTTCCTAAATGTACCGCAGTACCTGTTATGTTCCTATATATCACAGTACCTGTTATGTCCTAAATGTACCGCAGTACCTGTTATGTTCCAACTAATAGGATGATACATGTATAAAAGACCATGGATACTTAGATGTTAAGTGTTGAATACCAGTCTTTTGAGAGGTGGTATATATTCATATTTTGTAAAAAGAATTTATAATATAGCTGAAGAAGCGATGACAATCGTAGGTATAAACCCAGTCGAAATGATCGTGAAAATGGATATAAACCCGAACATTTTCGGAAAAACCCCAAGGAAGTTCTTGTTTTAAAATCGCCCTTAGGGTATCTTGTTCAACCAATGTGGATACCTAAATATTATATATTTTTGGGTGAAAGAGAGTTTAACAACTTTGGGTATACCGAGGCACAATATGTTTCAATGTGAAGTTTCGTCTTTCCATTTTTTATATTCTATATCCACAACAGCGGAACCGGACAGGGTCGATCGCCGGCGATCAGCTGGCTCAATGTGTTAGAGCCTCCGTCTAGATTTTGGAGGTCCCGTATTCGAATCCCGGCCTGGCGGTACAGTCCAATCTTTGATATCATATTTTACAATTCAGGAGATTGAAAAATGGTTTTTGTTTCGTTAGAGCCTAAATCTGTGGGTTTCGGTGGTATATACCGCCATGGACGCCCCTGGCTCGGAGACGGTCTGCTGATAGCGGGCGGACAACGCTGGGCCCGCGCTCGTCGTCTCCTCACCCCAGCATTTCACTTTGATGTACTGCGTCCATACATGCACATCTACAACGAGGCTGCTGAGGAGCTTCTGGTAAATTCTTTAAACATGACAATTTCGTTTATTCGTTTTATATGTTAATGTTAGGGACTATAGATCTCTCGGGAAATGAATCATAAATATTTTTATATATTCGTCACAAACAAAAACTAAAACACTCCGTCAATTGGTTATTATAGACAAACATTGGCCCGTGTGAGAAGAGCGGTAAGAGTTTTGAGACGTTCAGCGTAGTGAGTGCCTGTACCCTGGACATCATACTGAGGTGTGCCTTCTCCTACCGTACCAACTGTCAGAACCTCAAGTAGGTACTCATGTATCTCACTCAAAAACATCGGGAAGGTACTCATGTGTCTCACTAAAAAACCTCGGGTAGTTGCTCGTGTGTCTCACTCAGAATCTCGGGTAGGTACTTCTGTGTCTCACTCAGAACCTCGGGTAGGTATTCATGTGTCTCACTCAGAACCTCGGGAAGGTACTCGTGTGTCTCATTCAGAACCTTGGGTAGCTATTTCTGTGTCTCACTCAGAACCTCGGGTAAGTACTCGTGTGTGTCACTCAGAACCTTGGATGGGTACTTGTGTGTCTCACTCAAAACCTCGGGTAGGTATTTGTGTGTCTCATTCAGAACCTCGGGTAGGTACTCGTTTGTCTCACTCAGAACCTCAGGTAGGTACTTGTGTGTCTAACTCAGAACCTCGGGTAGATACTTCTGTGTCTTATTCAAAACCTCATGTAGGTCTTCACGTGTCTCACTCAGAACCTTGGGTAGGTACTCGTGTGTCTCACTCAGAACCTCCTGTGAGTACTTGTGTATCTCACTCAGAACCTCTTGTAGGTATTCGTGTGTCTCATTCAGAACCTCGGTTGGGTACTTCTGTGTCTCAATCAAAACTTCGGGTAGGTACTTCTGTGTCTCATTCAGAACCTCGGGTAGGTACTTCTGTGTCTCACTCAAAACCTTGGGTAGGTGCTTGTGTGTCTCTTTCAGAACCTTGGGTAGGTACTTCTGTGTCTCATTCAAAACCTCGGGTAGGTGATTGTGTGTCTCATTCAGAACCTTGGGTAGGTATTCGTGTGTCTCACTCAGAACCTAGAGTAGGTACTTGTGTGTCTCACTCAGAACCTCGGATAGGTACTTCTGTGTCTCATTCAGAACATTGGGTAGGTACTTGTGTGTCTCACTCAGAACCTCGGTTGGGTACTTCTATGTCTCATTCAGAACCTCGGTTGGGTACTTCTGTGTCTCATTCAAAACCTCGGGTAGGTACTTGTGTGTCTCACTCAGAACCTCGGGTAGGTACTTCTGTGTCTCATTCAGAACCTCGGGTAGGTGCTTGTGTGTCTCATTCAGACCCTTGGGTAGGTACTTCTGTGTCTTATTCAGAACCTCGGGTAGGTGATTGTGTGTCTCATTCAGAACCTTGGGTAGGTACTTCTGTGTCTCATTCAAAACCTCGGGTAGGTGATTGTGTGTCTCATTCAGAACCTTGGGTAGGTACTTGTGTGTCTCGTTCAGAACCTCGGATAGGTACTTGTGTGTCTCACTCAGAACCTTGGGTAGGTACTCGTGTGTCTCACTCAGAACCTTGGGTAGGTACTTGTGTGTCTCACTCAGAACTTCGGGTAGGTGATTGTGTGTCTCACTCAGAACCTCGGGTAGGTGATTGTGTGTCTCACTCAATACCTCGGGTAGGTGATTGTGTGTCTCATTCAGAACCTTGGGTAGGTACTTGTGTGTCTCACTCAGAACCTCGGATAGGTACTTGTGTGTCTCACTCAGAACCTTGGGTAGGTAATCGTGTGTCTCACTCAGAACCTCGGGTAGGTGATTGTGTGTCTCATTCAGAACCTTGGGTAGGTACTCGTGTGTCTCATTCAGAACCTCGGATAGGTACTTGTGTGTCTCACTCAGAACCTTGGGTAGGTACTTGTGTGTCTCATTCAGAACCTTGGGTAGGTACTTGTGTGTCTCATTCAGAACCTCGGGTAGGTACTCGTGTGTCTCACTCAGAACCTCGGGTAGGTGATTGTGTGTCTCATTCAGAACCTCGGGTGGGTACTTGTGTGTCTCACTCAGAACCTCGGATAGGTACTTCTTTGTCTCATTCAGAACCTCGGGTAGGTACTTGTGCTTCTCACTCAGAACCTCGGGTAGGTACTATAAAATATTGCATGATCCATCATTACTCACATATCCCACTATTCTCATCTCATATACCGATAATTTTCACACATATCTCTCATATCACGTCTCCAACAACTCTCGTTTCCCTCAACTCTCATATCACATAACTCTCGTTTACCACATCTCTCGTCTTACATAACTCTCATATCACTTAATTCTGGCCTTACGTAACTCTCCTAATCACTTAATTCTCATCTTCCACAACTCTCGTCTCACATTACCATCGTCTCACATAACGTCTCACACAACTCTCGTCTCACATTACTCTCGTCTCACATTACTCTCGTCTCGCATTACTCTCGTCTACCACAACCCTCATATCACCTAACTCTTATAAAATGACAACATATATTCGTCTCACATAATTTTCATATCACATTTTTTTCCCTTCTCACAAAACGTTCATATCTAACGTTTCATGGCCTGAAGTATAATATTCTACCTTTTCTTTTTAGCGAAGCCCACCCATACGTTACTGCCGTCAATGAGATAGCAGAGGAGTGGGCCAATAGAAACAGGTAGGCTTCCGCTTCACTTTGGTCAGATTTGTTTCGTCATTGTAATGTAGACCACTGACTAGTCCTACGACTACAGACAACATATGATTTATATATTTTGTCTTGCAGGAAACCCTGGTTGTATCCCGACATCATTTTCTATTTGACTAAAAAAGGGCGATTGTTTACACGACAATGTAAATATGTACACGGCGTGGCGGAGGAGGTGATAGACAAGAGAAAGCGTACGCTCGTAGGTATTACCGTGCTTAATAAAACACACACTCTAATTATTTAAGCATTAAACTGCCTTCTTTGGAAAGTTATTGTCCTATAATAATTCTCACATGATTGCAGTCTAATTGAATAACGCGCGTTAGTTATATTTCCGTTTTTAATTTAAGTTTTTCTTATATTTCTTATATTTACAAAGTCAAACTTCGCGCTGTCTGTCAATGAGACATGTTCTTGTGACGTCACGAGTACACGCGACCGTTCCCGGCAAAAATATATAGTTCGTGGAAATAAACACAAAATCATCGATTTAATTTCAATTATTTATTCACCCTTCATACAACATAACTACATACTAATACACTTAATATAGTGACGGCGGTCAAAACGACGTCATGAACATGTTCTTTATATCACTACACCAATGGGAATTATGTGAGAAATATGATCTGATATCTTTCTATTTTGTTTGGTAAGGTTATATAGTGGCAATGCAGAGCAAATGGAAATAACAAATTCTCCGTCCCTGTGGTTTTACCCAGAATACAGAGGAATCCTCCCATACCTTTAGATAGACTACTAAAACCATGTTACTATGTAACACGCAAGGGGAGACTACTAAATCTATTTTACGCCCAAGGGGAGACTACTAAATCTATTTCACGCCCAAGGGGAGACTACTAAATCTATTTCACGCCCAAGGCGAGACTACATATATCTCACACAAGAGGGCAAACTATAAGTATTTCACATAAAAGGGGAAATTACAAATATCTCACAAATAATTGGAGATTACAAACATCTCATAAACAACCGTAAAAAAATAATTTTTTTTTACTTGTCGTAAATAGTTTTACCCAAGATACTGCATTATTTCCCCTTATAAAATATGTTATAGACTGATGTGGACAATTGGGAACCGTTGGCACTTTCCGTAAACCTGAAATCGTTTGCAGAATGTGCCGACGGTTCCCGATTGGGTCTTTGGGTTGATTGATAATCTTCATTTATACGTGTATAATATGCACCATATATTACCCAGGATGCTGGAGGCGTACCTGAGAAGAAGTACAAAGATTTCCTTGACATTCTACTGATGGCTCGGGATGAGAACGGAAAGGGACTCACCAGGGAGGAGATCCGAAATGAGGTCGACACATTCCTGTTTGAAGGTGAACCTTGACATAAAAAAACCTGTAATACTATTCCATCATCTTGTAGTTTGTCAATGCTTGTCAATCTTTTGGTGTCATTCGAGGACATTTCATTGTGAAATCATGCTATAACTTTTCAGATGAACGTCGTTTTATCAAATACCACTACAGTCTAAATCAATGAACATGATAGAATGACATGATCATGTTTTAATATGATTCCATAAGAAACGTTAAGACGTCATCACTCATGAAACCGCACCAAGGTTTGGGAAACCTTATTTTCACCCTACTGGTTGACCAAAGTAATTTTGTTTTAAACAAATACCAGTCACAACACATGGACTGTTTTATGTTATCACTTTCAAAATGATTGAATAGGAGGTGTGTTAATGTATCTGTACAGGTCACGACACGACAGCCAGCGCCATCTCGTGGATATTGTACTCGTTAGCCACACACCCAGAGCACCAGATTAGGGTACAGGAGGAGATCGACCATGTCCTGGAAGGTCGGCAGTCTGACCGGCTCCAGTGGTCAGTAGAGACAGGAATTTCCCGCTAAATCCAACAATGACTTAACAACCAGTCTAAGAGCATACCATGACGTCATTTTTTTCCTACTCGTAAATGTATCAAGAAAACTACTACAACAGAATATCTATTTTGTTAATAAATCACGTAATAAAATTAGATCCTTATGGATTTGTAGTCCCCTCTTGTTTATAAGATGTTTGTAGTCGCCAATTATTTGTGAGATATTTGTAATGTTCACATAAACACTGACTGTATAAAAGACTACTGTATGTAGTGGAATTGAATCTTGTGTTCTCTAGGGATGACATGCCAAAGTTGGAGTACTTAACCATGTGCATCAAAGAGGGAATGAGGCTACATAGCCCCGTCCCCTTCATACAACGGGAAAGTACGCGAGAGTTCACTATTGACGGGAAGACCCTGCCCCCGGGTACCAACCTTACGTGTGCTATCTACTCCGTCCATCACAATCCGACGGTGTGGCACAACTCCCTGGACTTCATCCCGCAAAGATTTTCCAAGGAAAACACCACTAAGATGGATTCGTTTGCGTTTATCCCCTTTGCTGCAGGCCCAAGGTAATGACATATCTGAACAACTGTATACAGTCGTTTACAACATGTCTGGCAGTTCCCAAGGTTTATTATTGTATTAAAAAGGGCGTCGTTGTCTGTGATAAGTAATGTCCCGAATGTTTATTGATGTTCAGAAAAGTATTTCCCGTGGCGGTTATGTTATGTTATGTTATTATGTTATGTTATGTTTACTACTGTTTAGTTTGTTATATTATATTATGTTATGTTTACTACTGTTTATGGTGTTATATTACAGAAACTGTATAGGACAGCAGTTTGCGATGAATGAGGAGAAAGTTACCATCGCCAGAATTTTACACAAGTGAGTGTCTCCAAAATCAAACCTTGTAGCATTATTGAAACTCTGTGTATACAGGATACTCAAGGTGAGTGACTCTCCAAAATCAGACCTTGTAACAGTATAACAGACTAGGTGTATATAGGATACTCAAGGTGAGTGACTCTCCAAAATCAGACTTTATGACAGTATAATAGACTAGGTGTATATAGGATACTCAAGGTGAGTGACTCTCCAAAAACAGACCTTGTAACAGTATAATAGACTAGGTGTATATAGGATACTCAAGGTGAGTGACTCTCAAAAAAACAGACCTTGTAACAGTATAATAGACTAGGTGTATAAAGGATACTCAAGGGGAGTGACTCTCCAAAATCAGACTTTATGACAGTATAATAGACTAGGTGTATAAAGGATACTCAAGTTGAGTGACCCTCCAAAATCAGCCCTTGTAACAGTATAATAGACTAGGAGTATAAAGGATACTCAAGGTGAGTGACTCTTTAAGACTAAGTGTATCTAGGATACTCAAGGTGAGTGACCCTCCAAAATAAGACCTTGTAACAGTATAATATACTAGGTGTATAAAGGATACTCAAGTTGAGTGACTCTCCAAAATCAGACTTTATGACAGTATAATAGACTAGGTGTATATAGGATACTCAAGGGGAGTGACCCTCCAAAATCAGACCTTGTAACAGTATAATAGACTAAATGTATATAGGATACTCTAGGTGGGTGACTCTCTAACATCAGACCTTGTAACAGTATAATAGACTAGGTGTATATATATACAGTGTAGGATACTCAAGGTGGGTGACTCTTTAAGACTAGGTGTATATAGGATACTCAAGGTGGGTGACTCTCTAAAATCAGACCTTGTAACAGTGTAATAGACTAGGTGTGTCTAGGATACTCAAGGTGAGTAACTCTTTAAGACTAGGTGTATCTAGGAAACTCAAGGTGAGTGAATCTTTAAGACTAGGTGTATCTAGGATACTCAAGGTGAGTGACTCTCCAAAATCAGACCTTGCAACAGTATAATAGACTAGGTGTGTATAGGTTACTCAAGGTGGGTGACTCTCCAAAATCAGACCTTGCAACAGTATAATAGACTAGGTGTATATAGGATACTCAAGGTGGGTGACTCTTTAAGACTAAGTGTATCTAGGATACTCAAGGTGGGTGACTCTTTAAGACTAGGTGTATCTAGGATACTCAAGTTGAGTGACTCTCCAAAATCAGACCTTGCAACAGTATAATAGACTAAGTGTATCTAGGATACCCAAGGTGAGTGACCCTTTTAAGACTATGTGTATCTAGGCAACTTAAGGTGAGTGACTCTTTAAGACTATGTGTATATAGAATGCTCAAGGTGAATGACTCTCCAAAACATTTTTAGCATTATTATTATACACTAGGCGAGACCGTTGGCGCTGATCAATTTGATCGTGTGATAGCTACAGCTCGCGCAGGGAGGGCGGCATATTATATAGTCCGTTGTTGATCCTAAGTTTTAATAGCGGTTAATTTTCATGTAATAGTTGTGCTCGGTTTAGAGGATACTACCCCAGTCGCCAAACCTGTGTTGGCTGATACTGATTGGTTGTCATTCACTTACCAAATCAGTGAATTGAAGTATGAATCGGTTCCAAATATAGGCCTTGCTCCGTTTTATACTAAAATTACAATAACGTCGTAAACACGACACAAGTTAGAGAGTTGAGTACGACATTCGACACAAGTTAGAGAGTTGAGTACGACATTCGACACAAGTTAGAGAGTTGAGTACGACATTCGACACAAGTTAGAGAGTTGAGTAGGACATTCGACACAAGTTAGAAAGTTGAGTAGAACATTCGACACAAGTTAGAGAGTTGAGTACGACATTCGACACAAGTTAGAGAGCTGAGTACGACATTCGACATTCAGATTGTGAATGTTGAGCAGCTCGGCTCGGCAAACCACATTCGACATTCAAACATCAGCAAACAAAAGAGGGAGTCGGGAGTAAGACATATGAGGGCTATGGTTCAGGAATTTGAATGACATACAACATACGACATTTCGATTTTGAATGTTGAGCGGCTCGACATTCAATATCTGAATATCGTATGTCGTATGTTCAGCTAATGTCTCGCTACTTCCTCATTTTTCGGTTACGACCATGATATTAGGCTTGCAGTGAGCTATATGCCTAATCTATATACCGGTATCAGTGCTGATACATTCTTATAACGATATGTATCTATTTTTTGTCAACCAGGTACACTATCGAAGTTGATCCCACTGTTGAAGTGAGGAAACATCCCGCCGCGGTCATGAGGAGCAAAAACGGAATCTATCTACACGTCAAAAGTCGCCACTGATTGTTTAATAAAGACGTGCATTGAGGACTATATTTGTGTAAATATGTTCTTTGGATACAAAAGTGTCGTTTTTTTATAAGGTAATAAAATATGATGAAACCCAGAACGTGGACCTTGTTTGCAACTTGTATAGTTTATATAGTATGCATAGTCTGGAGGTTTAGTGACGCACCAACAAACTATGTACCTGACAGAACAGGTTAAGGGACACATCAACAAACTATGTACCTGACAGAACAGGTTAAGGGACGCACCAACAAACTATGTACCTGACAGATCAGGTTAAGGGACGCACCAACAAACTATATACCTGACAAAACAGGTTAAGTGACGCACCAACAAACCATATACCTGACAGATCATGTTATGGGACACATCAACAAACTATATACCTGACAGAACATGTTATGGGACACATCAACAAACTATGTACCTGACAGAACAGGTTAAGGGATGCACCAACAAACTATATACCTGACAAAACAGGTTAAGGGACGCACCAACAAACTATATACCTGACAGAACATGTTATGGGACACACCAACAAAATATATACCTGACAGAACAGGTAAAGGGACGCACCAACAAACTATGTACCTGACAGAACAGGTTAAGGGACGCACCAACAAACTATATACCTGACAGAACAGGTTAAGGGACACACCAATAAACTATGTACCTGACAGAACATGTTATGGGACACACCAACAAAAAATATATCTGACAGAACAGGTTAAGGGACGCACCAAAAAACTATGTACCTGACAGAACAGGTTAAGGGACGCACAAATAAACGATGTACCTGACAGAACATGTTATGGGACACACCAACAAAATACATACCTGACAGAACAGGTTAAGGGACACACCAATAAACTATATACCTGACAGATCACTTTATGGGACACACCAACAAAATATATACCTGACAGAACAGGTTAAGGGACGCACCAACAAACTATGTACCTGACAGAACAGTTTAAGGGACGCACCAACAAACTATGTAACTGACAGAACAGGTTAATGAACGCACAAACAAACTATATACCTAACAGAACAGGTTAAGGGACACACCAATAAACTATGTACCTGACAGAACAGGTTAATGGACGCACAAACAAACTATGTACCTGACAGAACAGGTTAAGGCACGCACCAACAAACTATGTACCTGACAGAACAGTTTAAGGGACGCACCAACAAACTATTATATACCTGACAGAACAGGTTAAGAGACGCACAAACAAACTATATACCTAACAGAACAGGTTAAGGGACGCACCAACAAAACATATACCTGACAGAACATGTTATGGGACACACCAACAAACTATGTACCTGAGAGAACAAGTTATGGGACGCACAAATAAACTATGTACCTGACAGAACAGGTTGAGGGACACAGCAACAAACTATCTACCTGACAGAACAGGTTAAGGGACACACCAACAAACTATGTACCTGACAGAACATGTTATGGGACACACCAACAAACCATGTACCTGACAGAACAGGTAAAGGAACACACCAACAAAATAAGAACCTGACGGAAAAGGTTAAGGGACACATTTACAAACAGAACAGTTGAATGAGATAGTTTTTTATTCTGTGAAATGAGTAGTTTTTGAATAGTCATGTCTATTTTCCCTTTTGGATCACATCCCTCCACGAATAGGGTGAAAGTACATCCTTGTTCATCCTACATTTAACCCTTTAGGCCAAGGATCCTTTAGTTTACACCAATTAAATTATTAACCCAAACTGAATTGGTAGGATTTTAAACGTTAATTTCTTTTAACTTGTCGGCCAGAATAGAAACAGGGAACTTACTGTTTTTGCTGATGTTTTAACTGAATTTTGTACGGTTGTGATTCGAATATAATATTATTCGGCATTTGCGGGGTTTAGATCAACAAGTGCCATCTCAAAATATGTGATACAATGTATTAGTCCGGTTAACTTTCCACTGATTTGTTCTATATTTGGTGTGGAGCATTTTTGGGTGAAGGTGAACCAATTTGGTATAAACGGTTGGTGTGGCCCCCCTGAGGGTTGAGGGGCGGAGCCTAATAGGGGAAATATAGCAAATTCTTAAAAATCCTTCTTCTTCTGTAGGAATGAAAGGATGTGTCCCATATTTGGTCTGAAGCATCTATGGGTCTGGCCCCTCAGAGACCTGAAGGGCGGGTCCAAATAGGAAAAACATAGCAAATTTTCATCAAAATTCTTCTTCTTCTGTAGGAGTGAAAGGATTTGGTCCATATTTGGTGTGGAGCGTTTTTGGGTACAGGGGAACCAATTTTGTATAAACGGTTGGTGTGGCCCCCCTGAGGGCTGAGGGGCGGGGCCTAATAGGGGAAATATAGCAAATTCTTAAAAATCCTTCTTCTTCTGTAGGAATGAAAGGATTTGTCCCATAGTTGGTCTGAAGCATCCTTGGGTGAAGGGGAACCAATTTTGTATAAACTGTGGGTCTGGTCCCTCAGGGACCTGAAGGGCGGGTCCAATAGGGGAAACATAGCAAATTTTCATCAAAATTCTTCTTCTTCTGTAGGAGTGAAAGGATTTGGTCCATATTTGGTGTGGAGCATTTTTGGGTGAAGGGGAACCAATTTTGTATAAACGGTGGGTGTGGCCCCCCTGAGGGCTGAGGGGCGGGGCCTAAAAGGGGAAATATAGCAAATTCTTAAAAATCCTTCTTCTTCTGTAGGAATGAAAGGATTTGTTCCATATTTGGTCTGAAGCATCCTTGGGTGAAGGGGAACCAATTTTGTATAAAC